GGGAAGAAATGTAATCCTGTTTCCTCTGAGATTAGGGAGGAGTAGGGAGAAAGGAAGAGAAACCTGTCCATTTTAAAAATAAGTTGCAATGGCAGAGCATCAAGGGCTACATTCAAAGCATAAAGAAGACCACTGTCACACAATCACAAAAGGGAAGAGTAAATGCATCAAGAGAAGAGATTGAACTCCTGCCATGCAGGAAGGGGCCTGATAGCCCAAAAAACCATTTTGGTGAGCCATTTTAGGAGCTTATTATATATGTCTAGTGGTTAACCTCCAGATGTGGTTCCTGTGTTTGAAGAAGACTGACCACTGATATTCTTGTTCAGGGTAATTACTTTGGTTTTCTTTGAAGGTGGGGAAAAAAAAATCCAAAAGAGTAAAACACATGTACATAATGCTTGTCCTAGAAATTTACTGAGGAAAAAAATACTAAAAGTTGTTTGATTAAAAGATCATTTAAAAAGTTTCCATTCTTTTTAGAGGTCAAAAACAGAAGTACAAGCCATAGACGCTGGGATGCTCTGATGTTGTTATTTCAATAACTGACAACATCAATTATTCTACAGTTAGGATAGGGAAGTGCCTCTAATGACATGAAATATTCTTACATGTAGAACTGTCTCTGCCCTGCCCCCGGAGTTAGAACAGTAAGACTGTGCCTGTGGTAGCAGGACAATGCAGCAGGTGCTTCATGTACCCCTTTCACTTAATTTTCTCAACTGAGGTGTAGGTACTATTCTCCCATTTTACAGATGAAAAAATGGGTTAGGTGGGCACTTGTCACAAGAGTGGCTCTGAATGAAGAACCTCACATTTGTAACTGCTTTGTAACTAATGAGATCCCTTGAAATTTGGTATTCTAGTTAACAGTAAAAAAATAACATTTAAAGAGATTGTGTCAGTTTTGTGGTGGAAAGGGCCACAAAAGAGCGGTTAAAAATATACGCTTTTTAATAGTATTTAATTGCATTAAACCTAGTTTCCCACAAAGAGAGCACATGTCAGCATGTTATGTGTTTCTAATGTTCGTACCATGATGAGGTATAAAAGAGGGATTTAGGGGCTGTGACTGTGGCTCAGTGGTAGAGTGCCTAGCATGCATGAGGGAGGGTTCAATCCTCAGCACCACATAAAAATAAAGATATTATGTCCACCAAAAGGCTGAGGCAGGAGGATGGTGAGTTCAAAGCCAACCTCAGCAAAAGCGAGGCATAAGCAACTCAGTGAGAACCTGTCTCTAAATAAAATACAAAAACTGGCTGGGGATGTGGCTCATTGGTTGAGTGCCCCCGAGTTCAATCTCCAGTACTCAAAAAAAAAAAAAAAAGTCGGGAGATTTAAAGGACACAGTGGTACTAGATCACTAGAATATATAAACATTAGATGGCTATGGAGAAAGTTTTTTGGGAGGAAATGTGATGGTCTGCAAAGGTGCATGCAGCCCAGAACACATTCACTCCTTGTAACCAATTTACTTGTCTAGCAGTTGACTTTTTTTTTTTTTTTTAATGAGCCTGAATACAAATGAGCTATTTTCCAGAAACTTTAAAATAAAGGTATTTAATATTTACTTTGGAGTCATTCTTACTACTTCTAACATTTCTCTGGCTTTACTAAGATTTATGTTCCATATTATACTCTAAAAGTCTGGTCTTATAAAAAGTCTTCAGAAATTTATTCGACATGTATAGGCAGGTCAAAATTGCTAGGAAGGGCAATAAGTACGGGTGCATGCCTAAGTGGAAGTCTTCCCGGCGGCTGTGCCCCCTACCCCGCAAATATCAACTTTATTTGTAACAAACATTGGAAGAAATCCAGATGTCCTTCAGTGGGTGAATAGTTAAATAAACAGGTACATCCACAACATAGAGTACTATGTAGCAATGAAAAGGAAAAGACTATTAACAAGCAGCAACATGGATATATCTCCAAAGACTTGTGCTACATAAAGATATCCAATCTCAAAACACCACATATGGTATGATTTCACTTATGTAACATTATTTAAGTGACAAAATTATAGAAATGAATAACAGACGTGTTTTTCATGGTTAAGGATGGAGGTAAGGGCCTTAAATGGTAAGTATTTCTGTGGAAGGAGTTTTTTATTTCAGATTGGGCTGGCGAGTGAAGGGCTCTATGTGGGAGACCTGAAGGAGGAGGGATGAGGGAAATACCATTAGGATATATATATATATATATATATATATATATTTGGGGGAAGACCACCTCAAATGGAGGGAAAAGTATGTATAAAGGCTCTGAGGAAGGTCATGTTTTCACCTTTCTCTGACCAAACATTCCTTCCCCCACATAAGTGCACTTGATCTGAATTTCTGTAGCAGCCTATAATAGCCTTACCACATTTGGAACTGTTCATGGTATAGTTAGATCTATACTTGACTCACTGCCCCTTACTTTACAGGCCCTGGACTATTAGAGGTGAGGTTTATCTAAATTCCTACCATATTTGTAGGGTCTAGTTAAGTGCCTGGCATACTCTACATTCTCAAATATTTAACTTGGCTCCTATGCCCAACTTGACAAGTACAAGGAGCAGCATCATTATGAATTCACTTAATTGAATTATATATGGCATTCAGGTGAGTCGAATTATATATGGCATTCAGGTGAGTCACCTGCTCATAGGAGCAGCAATGTTAAGAGCCTAGGTTCAAATCCCTATATGTGATCTTGTAAGTTACTTCTTAATCTTCATTTCTAAAAACTAGTCATACATAATATATATAACTGCATTGTCAGTAGTAAATGCTCAGTAAATTTTATTATATTAGTGGTACTCATTTTTATAATATATGGTAATTAAAGAGAACAAAGTCACAATATCGGTATTTAGTATTTATATAATACTAGAATAGCTTTGGTCTTTATTTACAAAGTAGACAAAACAGTGGTTGTGACCATATAACTCATTGCCTACATTTCAAGTGCTCTGTAACTGGCTACAGACAGCAAAAGATGGAGTACACTTCTTGTAGAGATTATGTAGTATAGCCATCTTATTTCTCAGAAAATATCAGAACTAGATAGTGTGGTAGGCTGAATTAACAGGTTTCTCTGGAACCTGAAAATGTTAGCTGGTTTGCAGATAGGATTAGATTAAGGGTTTGGGGATGTGGAGATTATCCTGGATAATCCTAGTGGACCCTAAATGCAATCACAAAGCCTGTGTTGGCTTTCATCACTGTAGCCAAAATACACTACTCAACAAGAACAGCTTAAAAAAGAAAGAAGTTACTTTGGACTTACGATTTCATTCATGATCAATCAGTTTCATCACTATGGGCCCAAGGTGAGGCAGAATATCATGGTGATCAGGAAGCAGGAAGGGAAGGGGCTGAAGGGAAGATGTTCCCTTCTGGGGCATGTCCCCAGTGACCCACCTCCTCCAACCATGCCATACCTACCTATAGATAACACCCAGTCAGCCCATTCAAAGTAGGATGGACTGATTAGGTTCTAGGTCTCAATCTATTCATTTTACCTCTGAATACTCCAGGATCAACAGGATGGGGGGGTGCCCTCATAAGGGAGATTCCTTACATATAGAGGGCAGTCATGAAGACAAAACACATGTTTGAAGATACTGGTCTTGGAGTGAGGGAGCCACCGGAAGCTAGAAGATGCAAGGAACATTCTCCACTCGACCCTCCTGAGGCAGCATGTACTTGGCTTTCAGACTTTTAATCTTCAGAAAGGAGTGAATAAATTTGTTTCAACCCATCAAGTTTGTGGCAATTTGTTATACCAACCACAGGTAACTAACAAAATGAAAGCTTAAGATTGCAAATGTTTTTGATGGGATTAAAACTACCACACCAGAATACCTCCCAGACTATTTGTATTAGTATCAATGGAAGGGTAGAAGTAGAGCTTATCTATTCATGGGTCAATTTTTGAAAAGCCATATGGGGTGGTGAATTTAAAATTGAGACTAATAATGACATAAGCATGTGGGTAAAATGCAGAATAAGCAACTACATCAAAAAAGTTTTTAGTTTATTAGAATGTCACTTTATGTATGCTTTTAACAAATTTCATTTAAACAGTATAAAATACTAAGTTAAAAGATTTTAGTAATAGAAACAAGATAATAGGAAAAACATTGTAATTATAATTTTTTCCTTGTGGGCCATATAGCTTTGGTCAGCAGTATCCCAGAGGTGACACAGACAATTAAATTTTTTTCCATAAATCATGATTGCTATGGAAGTTTTGCATTTTAACTAATAAAACTAAACTGGTCAGATACCAGAGGGCTGACTTAAGTCCTTTATATTATAGGTTGCAAGAATACTAATAATGACAGGAGATAACCCTTAAACACCAGTATAGCAGAGACCAAAAAGGAAATTAGGGCAAAGAATATAAATTTCTGAAAGAAATTCATAATTGTTGAACTCAAAAATTTATTCTTATGGGAAGGAAGAGCTCATGAGATTCAACTAGCTCCTTAAAAGTTAAGGGCAAACATATTGAAAATTTTTTTTAATTAAAAAAAAATTTATTATAGGTGGATACGTTTGTTTTTATGTGGTGCTAAGGATTGAACCCAGTGACTCACATGTGCCAGACAAGTGCAAGCTATCTACCACTAAGCTACCCCAGCCCCCTGAAATTTTTTTTGCATTTTTTTCTTGGCTTATCAGAATTCTATCTATCTGAAACCATTTTTCACTTATTTAGTAAAGCTGCCCTTTAATAAATGCATTTAGAGCTGAAGCTTAGGGTATGACCAGGTACACTCAATAATAAAGAAAATGTGAAGGTCAAAACTTAGTCTGTTTTTGTGGATGAAGTGTGTGTATATATGAACTGCAGTAATGCCTTATGAAAACTCAACCTGTGAAATTTCATTCTCATAAATAAAGAAGGTAGGATTCAACATTGACCTCTATTTGCCTACCTTTCATACCAAATTTCATATGTGAACAGTTTATATATTAAAATCTATTTAAAACAAATTTAGAGCTGGGCACAGTGGTGCATGCCTTTATTCCCAGCAGCTCTGCAGGCTCAGGAAAGATCATAATTACCAGGGTGGCCTCAGCAACTTGGTGAGATCCTGTAAAACAAACAAACAAAAGCACCACTGACTTCCATCCCCAGTACCATTTTAAACAAAAAATTTAAAAAGACATTTCAGATTATATAGAGATTAGAAAGTTTTGAAAAGTGACTAAAATAAGGTCCTGATTTTTTTCATGGGTGGGATAAGTACAAATGAAGAGCATATTTTTACTTAAACTGTTCACTTTTTTTCTTAATAAATTCTTTTTTTAAAAAAAATTATTATTTTTGTAGTTGTAGATGGATAGCATGCCTTTATTTTATTTGTTTGTTTTTATGTGGTGCTAAGGATCAAACTCAGTGCCTCACATGTGCCAGACAAGTGTTTTGCCATTAAGCTACAGCCCCAGCCCTCAATATATTCGCTGATGGAATCAAATTCCTGTTTCTACTACCTTGACTTCAAAAAGAAGTTTCATTACAAACCTGAATATTTCTGCTTAAACATGGCTACTCTTACTTCTGAGATGTTTCCATATAGTTTAAGTGCCCAGATTGCAGGTAGCCTAGGATCATTCACATGAGCTTACCTTGAAAAAAAGTAGCAATGCATGAGGTAGTATGCTAGGGACTTCCTAATAGATATCTAGGCCAGCTGAGGTGTATTGGCACACCTCTGTAATGTCAGCTACACAGAAGGCTAAGACAGGAGGGTCTCAAATTCAAAACCAACCTGCACAATTTAATAGCAACACTCTGTCTGAAAGAGGGCTGGTGCTAAGGATTGAACCCAGTCATAAAGTGCTTACCTGGTATGTGCAAAGCCCTGGGTTACATCCCTAGAACCATAATAAATAAATAAGCATCTAGTCCCATGTTCCACCCTGTTACACCAGTTCTACCGGCTTTGTGTTGTTTAAATCACATATCTATAAAGCTAGTGAAAAACATCTGAAGACACTAGCTTGCTACTCCAAGACCAACAGTTGGACTGTGTCCTGAATATATACCCAAGTGGCAGATCCCTGTGTAGCTGTTTTGGTTAAGCCTCCCAAGATCATCAACCACAACAGCATGAGAAATAATATTCCCAGAAAGTTTCTTCATGTACACGTTTTCTTTCAGAATGAATTTAATTATTTGTTTAACTTTTTGGCCATTTTTATAATTTAGTTGGCTATTTGAGCTAATAAAATTTATGACCCCAGCCAAATTTTTGACCCTCAGTGTTTTTACGGTTTTTGTGGGTGGCTGGGTGACCACTTCATGGGTTATCATGGATATTATCCTTGCAGTTTGTGTGTGTGTGTGTGTGTGTGTGTGTAACTGGGGATTCAACCCAGGGGTTCTATACCACTAAGTTATATTCCAGCTATTCTTATTTTTTATTTTGAGACAAGGTCCTCCCAGGCTGGCTTCGAACTTGAGATCTTCCTCCTTAGATTCCTGAGCTGCTGGGACTATGCCTGGCTTATGCCTACCTTCTTTGTATCTTTTGTGCTAGTCAAAAATACTTGCTCTTGACATCTTTTTGTCACTGCTGACTGCATTTAACATTTTAAGTGTCTCATTTGCAGATATATTTAACTTTACATTATTTAATATGATTTTTTTTTTTTTTGCTTTAAATTACAAGCACCCATTTTTTTTTTTTATGGTGAAGGTAGTTATCTTCACACATACCTCCTAACAAAGTTAGCTTTAAAAGCACTATTGTGGCCAGCTGAAATATTATAATCTATCCTGGCAATAGCTGTTCCTCTAATTTCCCAAGGTACACATGAAAAATTAATAAAATTTCAGAAGAGCACAATTAATCTTTACAAAAAAATACAAATAATCTTTGGAGCTGATGAAGGCTTTGGCACCATGCCATTTCAGCTTGAATGCTTTCTATTTTCCCACCTTTAAAAGGATAAATTGGCATTTTCTTGCTTATCAAATGAATAGGAAGTACATTCATTATATGTAGGCAGCATACTCCCCCCTCCCAATAAACTAAGATGATAAAAATACACCTTAAAAACATATAAACTCTCCCTTGTCTGGGCTGTATATTTAGAATGAGCTAAGATGAAATTAGGATTTTTTTCTATTGGTACTGACAGATAGGGAATCTCAAAGGAAAATATCAAAATAATTTATTTCAAAATATATAATGAGAAAATGGTCATCGATGTCTCTGGTCTGTATAATATGTATGGTTATGTCCCTAGGAACATAAGTATTGTTCCCCAAATTCATCCTGCAAATACTGCTTAGTGTGGTTGAAAAAACACACATGTTAAAAAATAGCATCTTACAAATTTTGAATAGATATTTCACTTAGAGGCTGTAAAATGCACATGCCACAATCAGTTAAAAATAAGGTTTTAGGGGCTGGGGCTGGGGCTGTAGTTCAGTGGCAGAGTGCTTGCCTAGCATGTGTGAGGTACTGGGTTTGATCCTTAGCACCACACAAGAAAATAAAAAAAAAATAAAGGCATGATGTCCACCTACAACTACAAAAAAAAAAAAAAAAAGCAAAGTTTTACAGTGATTGGATGTGATTTAGAGTGTATCTACTAGGGTTTTATTTATTCATTTATTTATTTTTGGTGTGTATTAATACACAGAAAATAAAATATATCCTTTAACCCTACTTAAGGATACAATTTTTTGGCACTGTGTACACTCACAATTTTGTGCAACCACCACCACGATTCATTTCTAGAAGTTTTTCATCATCCCAACAGAAATTATTTTTAATCATTACAGAATAACTCCTTATTTCTCCCTCCCCCAACTCTAGCCACCACTATTTTGCTGTCTCTATAAATTTTTCTATTCTAAGTTATCTCACATAAGTGGAATCATATTTGAATGGCTTATTTTACTGAGTATGTTCTTAAGGTTTACCCAGGTCACCATGTATCAGAATTTTCCTCTTTTTCATGGCCAAATGATATTCCACTTGTATGTACACCACATTTTGTTTATCCATTCAATTGTTGATAGACATTTGGATCATTTCCCCCTGGCTATTGTGAATGTTACTATGTAATTAGTGTACACGTATCTGTTTGAATCCCTGATTTCAATTCTTTGGGGCATATACCAGGAATTGAAATTGTTGAACTACATAATTCTTTTAATTTTTTGAGGAACTATGAAACTTTTTTCACAGCAGCTACATTTCTTTACTTTTCCACTAGCAATGCACAAAGGTTCCAATTTCTTCCCAGCCTCATTAGCACTTGTTATTTTCTTAGGAACCTTCACAATCTTATATTCGTAGAAATGATTTTGAGTTATTTGCCAAATGTAAGAATTCAGTACATATTGACATACTGTTTCTTTACTGAAGGAATCTGCATTAGGACTACTTTGATTGCACTGGAAAGACACTTCAAAATATAAGTGGCTTTAGCTCACTTGAACATCTTTTAAATTGGCAGAGAAAGCAAGAGCTAGAAAGAGAATGGGAACAGGAGGCCATCAATTAAATAACTTAGGCAGTGAATCCCCATCAGCATGGTAGTATACTGTACTGCAAGCGCTAAAAAGTGCGAACAAGGGCTGTGGCTGTGGCTGTGGCTCAGCGGCAGCGCACCTGCCTGGCATGTGTGAGGCACTGGGTTCGGTTCTCAGCACCGCATATAAATAAAATAAAGGCTTATCAACAACTAAAAAAAATTGTTTAAAAGTGTTAACAATAGGACCACAAGCTCACCCATAAAATTTCATTCAAATGTTCCTCTCCGCAACTTTTCAGAGCGGAAGTGAGCGTAGTACCTGGTGCAGCCTAATCGGGTGGCTCTACACTACAGGTTCCTTACAGGTTCCTTCCGCCAAGTGGCAGCAGAGTCTCTCGGGACCCCGCGGAGAAGGCAGGTGAACGCCAGGTAAAGCCCGAGCTCGGGCCGCGCCTCACCTTGGCCTCAGGCCCAGGTTTTGAGGAGAGGCGGCTTGTCACTGACCCTGGCTGCGCCCACCTCTCCTCGAGGCTCTCGATTCACGGTCTGGAGCCAGAGGACAGGTGTGCAAAGCACCGTAGACAAGGAAACACCTGGAGGAGGAAGACCAAGCGGTCAGGACTGGGACAAGACGTACACCCTCGCGAGAGTTTGACACACTTCTGCAGCTCGCGAGAATCCTGCGCGACGCGTCCACCAATCACCGGTGGAAGTGGTCCTCGGTGCACGTAATTGGTTAAGAACGGGGAAGCTCGCGCTCCATTGGCCACTTTTCCGACTGCGACTCCACCCCTAGGCCTGAGTCCCCGCCCTTCCCGTAAGTCCACCCCTTAGCAGAGCTGGTGAGGAGAGGAAATGTCAACATAGGCCTTTGGTTCGTGCTCCTGGCCACCCGAATGGAGACCTAGTGGAGTCCCTCCTGGTACCTCAGTCCTAATTCACGCCCAGATTCAGACTTGTCCTGACTCCTTCCTAACCTTGGCCTTCCATCCTGCGATCCATGCTGACCAGTCCTAATCAGGGAGGTGGCTTTTACCTGTGCTTGGGGGAAGGCACACTCGCCTAAACTTTGTCATATTGAAGTATTTCTCTTCAAGCTTTCCATCAATACCTTATATAGTAAACAAGGATCACTACTAAACTCCCTTAATTCGATAAATCATCAAAAGAGGCCCAACAATGTAGAACTGTTATCATTCTCATTTTTCGAGCTAAAAAAAAGGGGGGGGGGAATTATTTATCTATCCAAATTCTGTTTTTTACTCTCTAAATATCCACTGTACTCAGCCCTTTTCATCCCTATCACTCTTGCTTTAATTCAAGCCTTCGTGATTGCTTGCCTGGGTTACTTCCATAAACAGCTTAGTTACTCCTCTCTGGCCACCCTCTATTAATCTTCCCAATGCAAATCTGATTCCATTTCTCAAATCCTTCTCAAGTCTTTCAAATGCGTAATCCTTCTGTGGCCCCTTTTTGCTTACATATTCTAGCAGAGACTGATTCTTATTAAAATACAACATACCTACACGTAAGTACACCGTCATGAATGCAGTTTGCTGAAATTGTAATCACACTCATGCTAGCTCATGCAACAGAACACAACTATATCCCAGGACTAACCACTCCCCTCCATTCAATGGTGACCACTATCCTGACTTTTAAGAGCATAGGTAGTATCCCTGCATTTGCACAGTAAGTGAGTGAAGCCATTTCAACAAATATACTTTTGTTCTCGGTTTGTTTAATTTATTATGTTCATGAGGTTCATGCTATTTATTTATTTATTTATTTATTTTTAGTATCATCTGTTCATATAAACCCTGTCTTGGATTTCGTTGTGTGAATATACAATTTATTTATCTAGCCAAATTTGATAGTGGTCCTCTTGGAGTAGTCACCTTTTGGAGCTACTAAAAGCATTGCTTTCAGATACAGTGGCACATGCCTGTAATCCCAGCAACTCAGGAGGCTGAGGCAGGAGAATGGCAAGTTCAAAGACAGCCTCAGCAATTTAGGAGGCCCTAAAGCAACTTAGCAAGAATGTATTTCAAAATAAAAAGGGATGGGGGTGTAGCTCAGTTGTAAAAGTACCCCTGGGTTCAATCCCCAGTGCCAAATAAAGTGTAACAAACACTGTAATATATCTTTTGATGAACTTGGTGAATGATGAATGCATTTCTGTTGGGTATAAACCTAGAAATGGAATTCTTGGATCAGAGGTTATATATCATGTTCAAATTTAGTAGATATTTTTAAAGTTTTCCAAAATGTTTGTGTCTATTTGTACTCCTTTCGGCAACATGTTCACCATTTTCATCACCATTTGGTTTTCCATTTTTTTAAAAAAAGAATTTATCTGGAGCTGAGATTGTGGCTCAGCAGTAGAGAACTCGCCTAGCATGGGTGGGATCCGAGTTCGATCCTTAGGACCACATAAAAATAAAGGCATTGTGTTGTTTTCATCTACACCTAAAAAACAATTTAAAAAAAGAATTTATCTATTCTTTTTAGTTATACATGACAGTAGAATATATTTTGACTTATCATACATATGTGGAATATAACTTCCTATTCTTGGGGTTGTACATGATGTGGAGTTTCACTGGTTGTGATTTGGATATGAACATAAGAAAGTTATCTCCGATTCATTATACTGTTTTTCCTATTCCCATCTCTCCTCCCTTCCTATCATTCCCTTTGTCCAATCTAGTGAAACTTCTGTTGGTTTTCAATTTTGATCATTTTGGTGGGTGATAATTGAGTCTCATGTCATTTTAACTTGCTTCTTCCTGATGACTGACAAAGTTGAGCACCTTTTCATTTTATTTATTTGCTATTTAGAAATAACTTTATGAAGTGTCTTTTAAAATCTTTGTCCGTTTTTCAGAACGTCTTTTTTGTATTTTCCTAACATTTGATTATAAAAAAATAGCAAATATTGAGCAAAGTTTAGAAAATTTCATACAGTGAACACATTTAAACATATCACATAGCTGGGTGTGGTGACTTATGCCTGTAATCCCAGCACTTGGGAAGCTGAGGAAGGAGGATTGTGAGTTCAAAGCCAACCTCAGTAATTTAGCAAGGCCCTAAGCAACTTAGCGAGACCCCGTCTCTAAATAAAATATAAAAAGCGACAGGGGATATGGCTCAATGGTTAAGCACCCTGGTTTCAATTCCCAGTACCAAAACAAAAATCACAACAAAAAACACCAAAAAACAAAACCAAAGAACACTACAGAAATTCTTCCATTAATACTTTATAAAACTTGCTTAATGACAGTTCTTTTGTCTATCCATCTTAATGTTGTTGCATTTCAAATTAAAATGTAGATAGCAATACATATTTAACTTTCTAAATATTTTAGCATGTTTTTCACTTAAAATCAGTAGCTAAGGTTTCTTTCAGTGTAAAGTGTACATGAAATAAGGGTACAAATCTTTAGTGAACATTTGCTGAGGTTCAACAAATGCACTTACTTGTGTAACCCAAACTTCTATCAAATATGTACCATACCATCACCCTGGAAGGTCCTTCATGCTGCCCCCTATTTCCACTCTCCCAGGGCGACTGGTATGCTGATCTTTTCCACCACTGTAGGTCAGTTTTGCCTGTTTCAAAATTTCATACAACTGGAGTCATACAGTACATTCTTTTTTTGTAACATTCCTCTCATTTAACACACTGTATTGAGATTTATCCATATCATTAATGCCTTCCTTTTCATTTTTGAGTAGTATTCCACTGGATTAATATATCACAGGTTGTTCATCTGCTGCAAGTGTCTTTTTAAAAGAATCACTTTATTGAGGTGTGATTACTACATTAAATTGTATATACCTAATATAATTGTATATACACAACTTGATGAGTTTGGAGATAATGATACACCCTTGAAACCATCAGCATAATCTCTACCATAAATATATCTATCATCTCCAAGAGTTTCTTCCTGCCTGATTACCCCCTTTCTCTTCTCTCTGTATATATACATATATACACACATATATATTGCATATATCCTCTCTCATTCTGAGTTCCATTTCATTCTTTATTTTTAATTAATTTATTTTTTTTAATATTTATTCTTTTAGTTTTCGGTAGATATAACATCTTTATTTGTATGTGGTGCTGAGGATCGAACCCGGGCCGAAAGCATGCCAGGTGAGCGCACTACCACTTGAGCCACATCCCCAGCCCCTCATTCTTTATTTTTAATTTAGAAATATATTTTATTAGGTTAACAGCTTTTTATCAGCATGAAGAAGGATACAAGCTCTAGAAGATTCTAAACATTCAACAAAGTGATAGGAAATCTAACATAAATGGATACATTTTGATAAATTATAAATGTGATGACTATGGACATGTAGGTTTTAGTGTGTAAAATTATACTAATGTATCATTTCATTCTTTTAATGATGTCTTTTGAGGAAAAACTTTTTTATTTGTCGAGGTAGGTCCAGATACTTTTTTTTCTATGTAGACAGCCAATGGATCTAGCAAGGTTAATTTAAAAAAATCACTTTCCCCTCTCTAGTTGTTATAAGTGTTTTAAGTGACAATTTGTGTGCAGATGCATTTCTCAACTTGATTCTGTTCTATCAGGTGATTTGTGTATCTTCACACCATCACCACACTGTCCCCATTTCTATGGCTTTATTGTAAGCCTTGATAGTGTACCAATGAACTGAATTTTTAATTTAAATTTTAATAGCCACGTGGCTATTGGCGACCAGATTGGACAGCACAGATTTATAATATTTCCATCTTCACAGGAAGCTCTATTGGATAACAGCTCTAGATGGTCTGTGGCAGAAAATACCAGAGTTTAATATTATACTGCTCTTCAAAAATATCTATGTAAGTCCTTTTTAAAAGGAATTTGGGACACAATTCCCATAGATTAGTAAGACACCCGGTTCTTTCAACCTTGAACTTTTAGAATTGAACTTAAACTCTTAGAAATGAAAATACTATTTCCAGTGTGGGAGAATGTAGTGCCTTGGAAAACATTTTTCATGATCAGACAAGATGAAATATGTAGCCCCATATCACAGGAAAAGATTCCTGAGGAAACCAGGCTTAGTTGGCACATGCCTGCAATTTCATAGATTTGGGAGGCTGAGGCAAGAGGACGGTAAATTTGAGGCCAATCTCAGCAGTTTAATGAGACCCTATCTTAAAATAAAAAATAAAAAATACTGAGGATGTAGCTCAGTGTAGAGCACCCCTGGGTTCAATCCCCAGTACTAAAATAATAAAATAAAATAAAATAAAAAATAAAGATTCCTAAGGTAATATAATAGCCACCAGCTGTAGGTCTAATTAAATTTTCAGTTTCTCAGTGCAGTAGACTAAATAATGGTCTCTAAATATGTCAATATCCTAATCCCTGGACTTTATTTAGCAAAAGGGACTTTGCAAATGTAATTAAACTAAGAATCTTGAGATGGGAAATTATCCTGGATTATTTGGGTAGGCCTTAAAAGTAACTGGCAGTGTCCTCACAGAAGGGAGACAGAAGAGATTTGACTATAGAAGAGAAGGAGCAATGTGGTCACTGAAGCCAGTGGCCATGCTGCTGGCTCTGAAGATGGAAGAAGGGGCCTCTAGCCTAGGAATGCATGGAATGCTGCTCTAGTAGCTGGGAAAGGCAAAGAAACAGACTATCCCCTAGAGCCTCCAGAGGGAGAAAGGCCCAGCTTACACCTGATGTTGACCCAGTCAAACTGGTTTTGAATTTCTGGCCTCTAGAGTTATAAAAGTATAAACATGTATTGCTTTGATAAGTTCCAAGCTTTTGAATAATCAATTTAATAAAATGAATTAATTATTCCAAAGTTACCATAAGTGGTGCATGGATTATTCAGTTTACATTTCTAAAGATTTATTTTTTTATTCTAATTTGTTATACATGACAGCAGAATGCACTTTAGTTCATAGTACACATGTAGATCACAATTTTTCATTTCTCTGGTTGTACACAAAGTACAGTCATACCATTCGTGTCTTCATACATGTACTTAGGGTAATGATGTTCAATTTATGTTTTATAGGAGGCCCACATCTGAGAATATGGGACATAATGGGTTAAACCACCTTTGTATTCATTTTCTACAGGAAATTAAAACACTCAGTAGCACTAGCCACATTTGAAGGGCACAATTTCAGACAGTGCAGTTCTACAGTCTTCTGCTTGCCAAAGAACCATTTGTTCCTTGGCAAGATCTCTTGGACTTGACATTTTTTTGGTAATTTAGACATTCTGAATATAAATTTGCTATACTCACCCAATTTGAATTTATCATGTAACTGTTTGCGTGGGACAACAAGCCATGGAAGCTCACCTATCTTCTGCTAAGACAAAACCTCAGGACAATAGTAATGCAAGGCAATTCTTTGACACCATGATCCATCATTTTTCACCAGTCAAAACTAATAAATGGCATCATTTTATTCATGCAAAATAGCATCAAAAAGAGATGTTTCACTTCAGTTCATTCTTTGGAACATCCAAACACTGCCAAGTCAAATGCAAATCATACTATTGATAAATTTGTCAATTAATAAGAAATAATGGCTTTGATGTCTTAACTTTATTTGGTGTGTATGTGTAGGTCTGAAGGTATAGGGTGAACAAAACTCACCTCTAATCTGCTTCAAAAGGTTCCACACAGGGCTTGGGGTAGAACACTTGTCAACAGTGCTTAAGGTCCTGGATTCAATCTCTAGCACAGAAAAATACATACATACATACATACATACATACATACACACACAAAGGCTCCACCCACAAGGGCTTTCAGAGCAGCACACTGCAGATCCAGCTCCACGCCCACCTCTCTGCACTTGTGTAAGGTTTATAGTGGCTAGTAGTTGTTAGCAAAGTGCATGTGCTGTCTTCCTTGAAAAAAAAGCATGAGGACTGCCCCCTTCCAGCCCCATAAACAAACTGTCATAGTCATTACTACAACACCCTATGATATCAATGCTCTAAATTTAGCTGGGAAAGGAGGTTCATGGACTGCCCACTGGCATGTTTTTAAAAAATACTTTTTGCCGCAGTCTGGCTGGGCACAATCAGGAGCCACTTGTCAAAAGAAACTAACTTTATTTTTAGAACCACACGCCAAACAAAACAGCCTCTCAGGAAAAACCCTCAGAGCCTCAACTGCCACCACCGGCTTTCCACAAGCCTCTCTCTCCCACACAAGCTTCTCTCCACCTCCCACAATCCTCCTGCTCTTGAGGCCGATTGGCTGGGTCACGTGGGCGGAGCCAAAAAAGTCCCCCAATGAGCAGCTCCGTGGTCTGAAAGGGCAGGGAAACAGCCCAATGAGCATCACCGCAGAGGAGCCAATCAGCTAGATGTTGCTGGGGCCGAGGAGCCAATCAGCTAGATGTTGCTGGGGCCGCTGTGAGCCAATCATCAGCCAGCAGCTGGAAGTTTGCTGGCAGCTGGAAGTTTGCTGGGGCCCCTTTGGCTGTGGCTCTCAACATCTCCCCCTCTCTGTTTAAACAACAAGCATGTGGCTTAGGGACCGTGCCTGTTAGGCAGTCCAATTCAACATATGGTCCTTACCCGTCATCGGATGAACTGACCTCTAGGCGTCAGCCTCCTGTCTTAGGTTGGTACCACTGCAATTGGATCATACCCGTCACTGACTACCGGTCCAGCATACAGCCATACTTGTGGATAGGCCTTTGCACCTGTGGGGGGGTGAGGTTCTTTGCCTCACCTCTGTTGGCCCCCAAATTTTAGACCATCACTAGTAGAGGAGGATGCAAAATGCCATGACATTAAGCCAATTGAGGGCTCCTTTGAAAAATTGTACCACCGGTGACACCATCAGCAAAAATACTCCAGCACTACCACAATTCGCTGTACCAACAGATAGTTCACAATGCATACAGGTGAGCTCACAATGTGTCCAGGCAAGTTCTGCAAGCAGTTCAGTGATGGCTATTGTAGAAGCTGTAGATTGGTTTTATCTTTCACTTCACCAGCACTGGGATGAAGATAGGAATTCTGGCAATAATGGCTAAAGAAAAAATTATGTAACATTACAGAAGGCACTAAAAGAAAACAATTTTCTTAACAATTTACATTGTCTTCACCGGCACTGGGATGAAGATAGGAATTCTGGCAATAATGGCTAAAGAAAAAATTATGTAACACTACAGAAGGCACTAAAAGAAAACAATTTTCTTAACAATTTACATTGTCTTCACCAGCACTGGGATGAAGATAGGAATTCTGGCAATAATGGCTTAAGAAAAAATTATGTAACATTACAGAAGGCACTAAAAGAAAACAATTTTCTTAACAATTTACATTATCTTTAAGAGAATTATTAAATATAATGAAAAGGAAAGGTGAAAGTAAACAAACAGATCTGTTAACCTTCTTTTTTGTTTACATATTAAAACAATCCTCAACAGTTGTTTACCCAATTTAAATTAAACCATATAAATCACGTGAAAAAAAATATTTGGATCCATTTTATCATGAGCGCTCATCTTATATGATATATGGACATACATACATTCAAACATATAACACAAAACACAAGTGTGCACACATAATATAATACATACAACACATAACATTATAGTAAAGGCCTTATAACTTTTTACAGGTGAAATCTCCATTGCAATGTTTAAAAACTCTATAGTCAAAAAATAGAACTGATCAGCAAAACATTAACCTAGGTCTGTATGAGCTCAAAAAACAAAATAGAACTTCATGATATGGCAAAGGGCAATAATAAAATAGATATTGAAAAAAGCATCCTGGTTCTGTTGCAGATGTAAGAATAGCCAAACTGGAGTTTTGGATATCAGTTGTTATGGATTTGAGCCAAATCATCTTCTTTTTGGTCTGTAGAAATCGCTTTAGTTAATCTTTCTGGAATCCAAATCGGCTGCTGTTCTCCCTGTGGAAACACATAAACAGACCCCCGACTCCAGACAATCACTGGGTCAGGACCTTGGTTAATCTCTCTGGAATCCAAATCGGCTGCTGTTCTCCCTGTGGAAACACACAAACAGACCCCCGACTCCAGACAATTACTGGGTCAGGACCTTTCCATTGTCCTGTTAGAATATCCTTCCAAAGTACCTTGGGCTTATGTACATTTTTTGGACACATATGCCTTTCCGCAGCACTAAGTCCTGATGAATCCAAATTTAAAAAGTTTAGAGTAAAAAGGGTTATTTTAAGTTTATCTTTGGGGAATATATACCCCTTCCCAATTCCTTCTTTTTGCTTTAATAAGTACATTTTAATAGTTTGATGAGCTCTTTCAACTATGCCTTGTCCCTGTGGATTGTATGGGATTCCTGTTATATGAGTAATGCCAAATGTTGAGCAAAATTGTTTAAAAGAGGTAGAAGTATAACCAGGGGCATTATCTGTTTTTAACTGTTTTGGAACACCCACAGTGGCAAAATTTTGTAAGCAATGAGCTATAACATCTTTAGTTTTTTCTCCGGCATGAAGGGAGCCCATCAAAAATCCAGAAGAAGTATCAACTGTAACATGCAAATATTTTAATTTTCCAAATTCTGGCAAGTGTGTGACGTCCATCTGCCAAATATGGTTAGGTATCAATCCTCTAGGATTGACTCCAAGATTAACTTGTGGTAAAAAGGTCACACAATTTTGACATTGTTTTATTATTTGTCTAGCTTGTTCCTTAGTTATTTTAAAACGCTTTTGTAAAGTATTAGCATTGACATGGAACTTTTTATGAAAATTTATAGCTTCTTCTAGTGTAGAGAAAATATGTATGTCATGTGTAGTTTTATCTGCTAAATCATTGCCCAAACTAAGGGCTCCAGGCAATCCTGTATGTGCCCTGATATGTCCTATAAAGAATGGATCTTTTCTGTCCCAGATTAGACTTTGTATAGTGGAAAGCAAAGAGAAAACAGTAGAAGAAGGGGAAATCCTACCAGCATCTTCAAGAGATACTATAGCATTAACTACATACTGACTATCAGAAAATAAATTAAATACAGAATCTTTAAACATCACAAAAGCTTGTAAAACTGCATTAAGCTCTACCTTTTGAGCTGATTGTTTGGGTACTAAAAATGTAAAAGTTTGATCAGGGGTAACTACTGCTGCTGTACCATTATTTGACCCATCAGTGAATATATTTGGAGCATTCATGATAGGTGTTTTTCTTGTCATTTTTGGAAAAATTACAGGATGCAATGACCAAAAAGACAATAAAGGATTAGATGGTAAGTGGTTATCAAATGAAACATTAGATTTGCACACAATTATTGCCCAAGTATTTAACTCATTAGCTAACTCATCAATTTGATTCATAGTATATGGAGTAATAATTTTATTGGGAGAAATTCCAAACACTCCCTTTGCTGCTTTTATTCCTTTGAGTATTAATTGTCCTACAGCCTCAGGATACCTAGTAAGAATAGTGTTAGGAGAATAAGATAAATGTATCCATAATAATGGACCTTCTTGCCAAAATACTCCTGTAGGAATATTTTTTGTTGGTAGTACAATAAATAATAAAGGCAAACTTATATCAATTCTATCCAAATGCATATTTTCCATATATGTTTCAATGATTTTTAATGCCTTTCTTGCTTCAGGCGTTAACATTCGGGGTGAATTTGGATCTGATGGACCTTTTAGGATATCAAATAAAGGTACCAACTCTCCTGTTGGTATACCTAAATAAGGCCTTATCCAATTTATGTCTCCTAATAACTTTTGAAAGTCATTAAGTGATTTGAGTTGATCTACTCGTATTTGAATTTTTGGTGGACGGACCATGGTTGAGGATAATAGAACTCCTAAATAATTAATTGGAAAATTTAATTGTACTTTATTGCTATCTCTAGATTATAATTTTTTAATAAGTTTGTAAGTGTGGCATAATATTCTAGCAATGTGTTTTTATCTTTGTGTGCTAATAATACATCATCCATATAGTGAAATATTTGTAGTTCAGGATTTTGATTTCTAAGTGGCTGGATTACTTTGTTAACATAAATTTGACACATAGTTGGGCTGTTAGACATCCCTTGAGGGAGTACTTTCCATTCATATCTCTGATCAGGACCTTCATGATTCAGTGCAGGGATAGTAAATGCAAAACGTGGACTATCCTCAGGATGAATTGGAATTGAAAAAAAACAATCTTTAATATCTATAACTAAAACATACCAGGTTTTTGGCAAAGCAGACAACTGAGGAATCCCTGATTGAGCAGGTCCCATAATAACCATCTCATTATTAATGGCTCTTAAATCTTGCAATAATCTCCATTTACCAGATTTCTTTTTGATGACAAAAATGGGAGTATTATGGGGAGATACAGAAGGTTGTATATGTCCTTCTGCTAATTGTTGTTTGACCAGGTCATGGGCTGCTTGTATCTTTTCTTTAGTCAGGGGCCACTGAGGAACCCATACTGGTCTTTCTGATTTCCAAGTAATTTTTATTGTCTCAGTGGCCCTTTCTGAAAATCCAACCCATGTCTTTCTGTTCCTTGATCTATTTGTATTGGTGCTGATAACGCCAAGGTCGCGGGTTCGTTCCCCGTACGGGCCACCAAATGCCGCAGTCTGGCTGGGCACAATCAGGAGCCACTTGTCAAAAGAAACTAACTTTATTTTTAGAACCACACATGCCAAACAAAACAGCCTCTCAGGAAAAACCCTCAGAGCCTCAACTGCCACCACCGGCTTTCCACAAGCCTCTCTCTCCCACACAAGCTTCTCTCCACCTCCCACAATCCTCCTGCTCTTGAGGCCGATTGGCTGGGTCACGTGGGCGGAGCCAAAAAAGTCCCCCAATGAGCAGCTCCGTGGTCTGAAAGGGCAGGGAAACAGCCCAATGAGCATCACCGCAGAGGAGCCAATCAGCTAGATGTTGCTGGGGCCGAGGAGCCAATCAGCTAGATGTTGCTGGGGCCGCTGTGAGCCAATCATCAGCCAGCAGCTGGAAGTTTTCCAGCTGCCAGCAACTTTTCTTGTATTAAAATGCACATAACAGCTGGGGTTGTGGCTCAAGCAGTGGCATGCTTTCCTAGCATGTGTGAGGCACTGGGTTCAATCCTCAGCACCACATAAAAATAAAATAAAGATATTATAAAAAATAAAATAAATACACATAATAAAATTTATCCATTTTTAAGTGTACAATTTTGCAGAACTGAATACATACATGATGTTGTGCAATCACCACTACTATTCATTTCCAGAACTTTTTCATAATCCCAAACTGAAATTCTGTACCCATTGAACCAAGACTACTCATGGCCCCTGCCTTCCATTGTCTCCCCATCTCTATGAATTTGACTATTCTAGCTAACTCAAATACGGGGGAACATATAGTATTGACTCTTTTGTGTCTGGCTTATTTCACTCAGCATATTTTTCAACATGCTGTGATGAACTTTAATATACACATTGGTATATTTTATTAGTGGGCTACATAAACCTCTAAACTGGAATTTATACAATATGGGAAAAAGGTTTAAAGTTTCTCCTAAATTTATAGTTATAAAATTAGGCCATACATTAAAATTACCTGAATGTTTAAAAAGTTCCTAGTATTCATGCTGTACCCTAGACCAATTATGTTAGAGTACCTGGGAGACGGACCCAAGCATCAGTATCATTTGTAAATATTACTGATAATTCCCAATGTGTATGTAGCCAAGATCAAGAATTCGTGCCCCAAATAAATGCAGGATAAACACCATTTCATCTAAGGCTCATCAATCACCTTTCCCTATAATCCCTAAATCACACTTAGGTTTCCCATATCTTCAAATCCAATTAAACTGGATCAAATTCATTTTCATATTTTCAAGATCTTCAGCTAAAGCACTTACACTTAAAATTTGAGATTAGAGAGAAAATCTCAGGTCCGCCGATTATTGTTAAGGAAAAGTTTTCTTCTACCAGGTCAGAGTAGTACTATATATTCATGTAAGTCTGGAGGCATAGCTCAATGATAGAGTGCTTGCCTAGCAAGTATAAGGCCCTGTGTTTGATCCCAGCACCAATAATAAAAAAAAGGTTTCAATCTAATAATTAAACTCTAGTCACACTTTCTTTAATAACAAATTCTAACACAATTAGTATTTAATATTGCTTTGAAAATTCCATGCCAGTGTATTTGTATACAAAAAAAAAAAAGAAAGAAAGAAAATCACCAGTATTTGCAGGTGATGTAACTGATGCACTTAGAAAATTCAAAAAATCAGGTAACATTTTCCTGAATGTAGGTACAAAAATAAGTTAATGACAAAAAACAGATAAAAGTCAATAGGATCCTCATATAACCAGCTTAAAAATATGTGTAATTTGTAACAGTCACAAAAACTTAATTATATGAAAGAATAAAAAGGATGCTGCTAACATCTATTTGTTTAATTGTAAAACATATTGACTGGACTGGGCTTCAGAGAATGGCCTGTAGAACTGGCTGTATCAGGGGTCACACTGGCTTTCACCACTTAGCAACTGTGAGAACTTGAGAGAGTTTTCTACTTGTCTTATTTACCTAGCTCGAAAATGAAGAAATGGTCCTGGAAAGCTTACATGAGTTAAAAGTATAAAGTGCTTAGGACACTCTCTGCTGCATAGCAAATACATTTCAGTGCTAGTTCTTAGGTTTATTACTGGGAGTCTATTGAGAAAGGAATTGTATATAGAGAGAGCTATAGCTTATTCTTGAATAGAGGCATAACGGATGAAGGAAGGCAAAAAAGAAATAAGCTGTAGATGGCTAGATGCATAAGAAGTTAAGTTCTGAAGCTTGAGACTGAATATTTTATATGCCTGTTTTCTCTACTTAATTTACAACTGCACAAATGTATATGAAGTTTTTATATTGATACAATTATGATTATATATAGAGCATTCTGAATGCAATATAAAGAGAAAATATTTACAAATATTCACATGGAAAAATAAATGAATTTGAATATAAAAGGATACCTGAAAAGAGGTCATTATTAGCTTTTATAGCCTATTCTGCTGGCTACAGAATAATAGCAGTATTGAAATTTTTTATTCCAATGAATAAGAATTCAGAAACATGGCTCCAATTTAAAAAAGAATAAAACAATACACGCTGTACAAGGTTTTTTAAATCAAGGGAATATTGGATAGACATTTGAATAACAATCCAAATATAAGAAATTAAACATAAAAACTAAATTAATATAAAACTATTAGGAAACATTTTTTTTAAAATAGAGCAATGAAATAAAAGTCAACTTCTCTCTTTTAAAAAATTCAGTGGAAAAAGACCAGAATATCTGAATGAAGGAATGAATGAATATATTACACACACACACACACACACACTCACACACACACTGCAATTTTAATTATCTGTAAAATGAAAACAAAAGCATCATAAGAGAATAGGAAGTTTTAAAAATCAAGATGATAAAAAAATTAATCCACCCACCTTCTATATATGGATTGTGGTGGTTATGTGAATCTCCATGTGACAAAATGACAGAACCATGGAATACTGCCACACATCTCAATGTTGGTATACTTCCCCTGGGAGACACTGGATGACGAGTACATGGAATTTATGATTTTTGCAACTTTCTTTGAAATTTAATTCAGAATAAAAATTCTGTGTTTTTTTTTTGGGGGGGGGGTTGGGGGAGGTTTGAACCCAAGGGCACTTTACCACTGCGCCACATTCCTAGCCCTTTTTAATTTTTAGTTTTGAGATGGTTTCACTAAGTTGCTTAAGTCCTCTAATTTGGGATTCTCCTGCCTCATCGACTTGAGTTCTGGGATTACAGGTTTGTGCTACTGCACTGAGCTCAGAATAAGAAGTTTTTAAATAAGATATTTAAAAGCCTCAAATAAAAAGTGTGTGTGTGTGTGTGTATCTGCGTGTGTGTGTGTATCTGCGTGTGTGTGTGTGTGTGTATATATATATATATATAATTATATATATAAATATACAATCTGATTAGATTATAGATTAGACATAGAGAATTCTATCCAGAACACTATATGTGTGTGTGTGTACAATATATATATATATATATATATATATATATATATATATATATATATATATATATATATATATATATGGTGTGTGTATACATATGTAATTGTCTTGGTTCTCCCCACAATGGAGTTTTTTTTTTTTTTTTTACAGTATCAACATTAGAATGAATAAACCTACCTTTAAGAATGTCCCCAGAATATGTTTTTTATGTAACTTGAAACAATTATTGTTATTAAATTTATTAGTTTGTTTATATTCAACTTTTAAAAAGGAGGTGAACATCTCACTGCCCATTCCTTATATATAATCACACTCATTAACTTCTGACTTAATCTTTCAGTTTAAATGCCAATAGATATGTATATAAATTTTTTTCTTACTTCTTCCTCTTTTTATGAACTTACCACAAAACCAGGTAGAATGAAGTGTTTGGTACAATAAATGATTCCTCTACATCATCCCCACTGTTCTAGTCCCATCTGCTGCCCATGGTGGTCAGCTGGTTCCATTCACACCTAATGCCCTGTTAAGATTGTAGACTGCAGTGTCTATGGGAAGTCAGGAAAGCACAGATCCACTTTAACTGGTTTTTAGCTTCCTCCCTAAAGGAAATAAAAAGTTACACTCAGTTCTTAAATGTATAGGATGACTGTCCAAAGTTTACTCTTCAAGACAAGTTCAAAGGGTGAAATCCTTGTGTATATGCAGACATTGGATTTTCCCACCTTCAAACAAAACACAGGCTTCCAAATTACATTATCTACTTGAACACACTCTCTTGTCTATCCAGAAAAATCTAGACAGCGTTGCTGGGAGGAAAAGTTTTCTTCTACTAACTTAGGTTCCAGTGTGGGGTTCTGAAAATTGATTAATAGATTAATAAGAAAGAGAATTAGTATACATGCATGTGAAAGCACTGTGCATGGTATTTTTCTGAATAACCAAGGATAGGGTGTGTGTGTTAAGGCTTCAGAGGGAAAGTATGGAAGGGTCAGATAAGGCTTATTTATACATTTAAATCCCCCCAGAAGTTCCCACATTCAGTTTCCTCACAGGATGCTCCCTTGGAAGGGGCTAGAGCAGGTGAATTCTCAGAGAGGCCTGAAATACACATCAAAGGCAAGCTTAGATAAGGCTTTTTTTTTTTTTTCCTGCAGCTGCTGTTTGTTCAGATGGACTAAGTAGTTGTTCTGCCATTTCCAAGTGTTGTTCACTGTCCCATCTGAAAATGGACATGAAGTTTCATAGACAAGGAGCTGGCTCCATTGCTGTGGAGAGAGGAGTTGGGTTAAAGATTGGGAGTTAAGTGATCTATGAAAGACAAGAACAGATTAGAACAAGGTTGAATAAGCAGAAAAGAATGAAGAGAACACATAGTTCCATGTTCCACAGAGATAGTCTCCCACTCCTGGAACAGATCAGTGCAATTAAATGATTGTGCCTCATTTATTTGATGTAGAATGTTGACTTGTGCTTTTATACACTGTAGATTGGACATTACTTCTCCTGTTTTATTTACATAGAAGCACCACTGTTTGCCAATGATTGAACAAGCTCTTCCCTGTTGTATGATCAGTATTTGTAGGTCACGATTTTGGTACAGAGGTTACTCCAGTAACTTTAGATTGATAGACTTCTAAGGTCTGCATAGTGACATGAACATTTGTTCTATTACTTTGGAATTGCATTTGGAAGATCATAGTTGCCAAACTTGGAAAAAGTGTTCATATTATTGAATCCCTGAGTGGATTGTTTATGACGTCTTGTTGGGTGCAACTAAGTGGTGTTTCTTTATGCACGAAGGATCCCATTTTTGTAACTTGGCTAGCATTGAAAGAGCTAAGTCCATATTGCCCTGACCATTTGGTGGGAGCCGTTCATGCACCTTATTGCAATGTAAAGAGACCAGGGTTGTTAATGGCTGAGGTCAGAGTGGATACTATGATCCACAAAGTGAATAAGTTTGAATCTATTACTTGTGCTCTAAGTTATGTAAAAATATCACAAAGGTTCTCAAATTGTAAGAAATCTTTTTCTTCTGGTTCAGCTGTGACACCGGCCAGGATCCAAAGAGGAGTTCTGCAATCTCCTCTCTAGGTTTTAACCTATCTGCTGCGTCAACCGTTAAAGTACACAGGAAAAGGCTATTCGGGAGCTTTCTGGTTCTTTATTTATTTATTTTTAGGGCGTGTCTGATTAGCACCACTGCACCAAACTCCGGAGAATACTCTGTCGCCTTTGTCCAAGAGCTGGCAATCTGGGTCAATTCATTTCGCCCAAGGACAGGGACATACCTGCGCTTAGAATTGAGGTTGTTGACCTCCGCAGACGTTAGAAACAAACTCCAGGGGCCCAAGTCATCCCAGGTCGGGTACTTGCGGCGGATCCGCTTGAGGAAGCAAAGCGCAAACTTGTTACTGCGTCAGATTCTCCCAAGGGACCTTCCGTGAGACTGGGCGCAGAGCCGGTGTCTCGCGCGGCCCCGGGAATGCCAGGGCCACCCGCCCCCCGGGCCGCCGGGAGTTGTTCTTCCCTCCATCCTGACGGCTGGAGCAAAGGTCGAGGGGACGTGTGGCGAGCCCAGCCATACCCAGGCCCGGGGCCGACAGGGCACATCGCAGCCGGAGGCCGAAGACTCCGTCAGTTCGGCGAGTGAAAAAAGAGACCCGCGATCCACTCAAGGCGCGGAGCTCGGTGGAGCACTGACCTGGGACTGGGGGCTGAGGACGGGCAACCAATCCCTGGAAGGACTTTGGAAGGGCGTGCCACGTGGGAGGGGCCTCTGGCCGGGCAACCAATCTCGGGAGGTCTCGGGACAGGGGCGGGGCGGGACGGGCCAGGACCTTGGCTGCAGAAAGTCTTGTGCCCGCCGGGATCTTTGTGGCACTTAGTAGCTCTAGAAGAAGTGCACCTTGCTCCAAGAATCCTTCTTGAAACTTCCAGCGTCCCAGCCCAAAGAACCGGATTTATCAGGCTGCTCACCAGTCCTTGGCACTGATGAATCGGGGTGTCTCCAGTCACTGAGCCTTCCTGGCCTGCTCAGTTACTCTCTCCCCACCTCGGAGTCTAGGCTATGGTCTCACAGCTTCTAGAATCCTGAGCTGCTAGTTCTTTGCTATATTTTTATTCACTTATACGATCAATTAAGTTCAGTGAGTGCTTCTACGTACCCTGCAGCTTCCTAATTCTTAAATGGACGAAATAAAAGGCCTCCCTTAGACTGAGCCAGTAGTAAGAGGATACCTCTAAAGAAGGCAGTCATGGGGAGGAGTTGAGGTCTTCAAATTCTTCAGCTTCTCGGTTCCCAGCCTTGAAATGGGCCTGCTTAGTTCTTCCCACTGTTTTGGCAGCTGGAGGGACCCTACCCCACGAATGCTCCACCCCACTCCTGTGGTCTCTGCTCCCACCTATCTCAGCCCATCCTTGGCCATTATTTTTTGTCTCCTGTCTCTTCATTGATTTCCTCTTTCTGTCTTCTGTTCTTTGTCTGGTTCGTGACATGAGTTTAACTACTATTCATGTTGTACCTTGCTGATGTCGACTCACCACCTCATTATTATTTCTCTTCCAACTCCTCCCCTTTCTCCTCCCTCTCTTCAAGTAGCACACTAAGAACATCTTTTATTAATGTTTCTTTACACAGTTTCACATTCTTTATAGATACATCTTTAGACACCATGCACATGTTTACATGGCATTGTGGCCAATGAAAGTGCAGCAACACTGTTCTCAACTATGAAAGTAATACTCCAGAAATTCTGTATACATGTTTGTGTAAAACCCTGACTACCCAATTTCTCAGTATGCTTACTTAATTGACTTTTCTTTTCCTCCTTCTCCCATTTCCTGACAATTAAATTCATATTTTCTGCAAGCTAATTTTACCTAGTAAAATATGTATGTCTCTTCATAGTATAGTTGAGTAAAGCCAGAGATAAGGGGAACCATGATTGTGAAATAAAGTGAAAGAGAGAAATGCCCATTCTTCAGGAGCACCAGCCTTATGTTGGGATGTTTTTGTTATTTTATAGAATCAATATGTACTGAAAACCTACCACATGCCAAATCACTGTAAATAGACCTGGGAGTAAGTAGACAAAAATCCAAAGCATAGACTTCATTCTTGTGGAACTTTCAATCTAGTAGACAAACATGAATGTAAGACTCACTTAAAATGTAAAATTGCCACTTGACAAGAGCTAAAATGGAGATATCAGGGTTCCTGTGTAAGGCTGGAAGAGATGAAGAAGCAGAACATTGAAGATGCCTTTATGAGAGCATGGCACAGTGATGCACTCCCAGAGACGTGGGAGGCTAAGGCAGGAGGATCACAAGGTCAAGTCCAGCCTCTGCAACTTGGGTGGGTGGGGGGCTGCTTTAAAAAATGAAAAGGGCTGAGCATTCAGTAGTAGAATGCTTCTGAGTTCAATCCCTAGTACAAAAAAAGTGTATCTGAGGCAAAGAAGAGGAGCTTGGGATCTAGTTCCAGGCAAAGGCAAGAGTGTGTACAGAATGTATGCTCCAGGATGGAGCTCTGTTCATTCCTAGAAGAGCAGGATGTCTGCCATGACTTCAGCAAAAACAGCCAAGAGATTAAGTAGAAAAAAGATGCAGGATGTCATAACATAAACCGGGCTACAGGTGGGATGTGGCTAGAGATGTTGGAGGCTATCAGATCATGGTAGACATTTAGACCATATTAAATGCCCATAGATCAGATACTCAGGAGAATGAAGTAATAGAATTGCAAGATGGAGGTCAGCCTGGCCAACTTATAAAGGACTGAAGATGCATTTCAGTGGTAGAATGCCCTGTGTTAAATCTCCAGTACTTATCCCAACACATACACAAGCCCATAAATGATGCTCATTAATAATGTGTTGTATACATGCATGTTAATAAAAAGTTATGTTTGCCAGACCAGCATGTGTTTGTGTTGGTATATTACATAAAAGTAGCCAATTTTCACTGCTCAATTTTTACATTCTCTGGACTCCTTTAACTGCTCTATATAGTTTTTTTTTAATTCAATCCTCTAACTCCCTATCCAGTAGCTAAGATTAAACTCCTCAATTTCCACCTGAGTACCTGCCACGCCCTGTATAGCTGAACCTGAGAAACCAGCAAGGGGCATTAGGAAATTAAGAAATACACACACAGATACTAAGACCAAAGGCTGGGATCAGGTAGAGCACTGCTCTCTGATGAAGAAGCAGTTTCTAAAGAGTTGACCCAGCAAGTTTATTTATATAATGTTTCATAATCAAGAAGTACAGGACTATAGAAGCATTGTTCTTTGTGCACTAGAAAGTTACAAGGCTAGAAACATTCTTGTAGCTATTTCACTGCTGCAATGCTTAGAGATTCCTGCAGCACTCCAGGATGCCCATTGTCTAAAGTTACTGTTAAGTGGGCAGGCTACAAAGTAGGAGTGTTGATGAAACATTGTAGTTGTTTTGTCAAGCTTAGAATTCCTCTCTCCCCAGAGCTATGTGCCTGAGATCAAGGTAGAGACTGAGAAGACTCTTGCACAGAACCTTGGTGGGGGTGGGGGTTGGGAGGGTTGGGGGTGTCACCATAACAACTGGGCATCCTGTACCCTTGTCTAGATACATTCCCAGGTAGCAGGTATGCCACAGCTATGAAGCAGTCAGGGACCCCCCAATCTCAGTCACCACACTCCACAAGGACCCATATATTGCTAATATTTTGTGAAAACATTTGATTCCCCAGTCTAATAGGATAGGTGACTGGTGAGCCTATCAGGCATTCTAAGCACATCCAATGAATATAGCACTAGAGATTCCAGTTCTTCTCTGAACATTGGCACACTTGTGTGCAAAAACACACATATTTAGAAAATCTGCAATGGTAAGATGGTGGATAATAATGGCAGCATGGAATCTCAATTTCTGTAATTTTGAAGGTGTTTTTCCTTTTTATTTTTAAATTATAGTTGTAGATGGACAACTATATTATTTTATTTTATTTGTTTATTTTTATGTGGTGCTGAGGATAGAACCAGTGCCTCAAGCAAGCTAGGCAAATGCTCTGCCACTGAGCTGTAGCCCCAGCCCCGAAGGTGCTTTTCTTTAAAAGTGACTGTGGGCTCTTCTTCTCCTTCCTCCTCCTCCTCCTCATCCTCCTCCTCTGTCTGAACTGGAATCTCCTCCTCTGTCTGAACTGGAATCTCCAGGACTGTGAGCTAAACAAACCTTTACTCTTACAAGTTAATTATTTCAGGCATTTCATTTGAGAGACAGCTAACTAACAGAACCCAATTTTTCTTCAACCTGAGGTTCTTTAGCACTGCTTTCTAGCCACTTAAACTGCTCAGCCATGACCAGTCTTATATAATCTTATGTAGATTAGTTAAGGCATTGTTTCTGTGGGTTATGTGGAATCTTGATGTTCAAAGTTGAAGCTCAAACAAAGCAGGAGATGTTTTGTATTTCTTGTTAATAGCTAGGCAGTTGCTTTTTAGTAGAGTCTAAATATTGTGGGGTTTGTGTTATGGACATTTGACATGAAAATCTGTACTGATAGAACTTGAAGTCTGTGTAAGCTGAACCCAGAAGTTTTGATCCCAGTGTTGTATATACCCATTCTTTACGCAGTCAGTACCTTTATGATTACATTGACTGCATAGCAGATTATAGAATGAGAATCTTGAAAATAAGTAGACCTAGTACCACTTCTCATTTGCCTTCTGCTCTTAGACTTACCCAGAAGAATAATTTTTACCTGGGCAAACATCTTTTGTTTTGGAAGGCACATGAAGCTTTTTTTTTTTTTTTTTTTTTTTTTAACAATCTTTCATCTCCAACTCTTTCCTTGTTTCCCCTTCCCTTTATGTGTCCTAATCCTGCCAATGGTACTCACAGACATTTATTAACTTTGCTGATTGAGTAGATTTATGTGTTTATTTTTCTTCTGTTAAATCATCAAAAGACATTGAAGATACTCAATGATAAAGAACCTTGAACATAGCATGCACACCTCACATGGAGATGGGTGACTAGAAGTCACCTCCCACACTGGGTGCTCTGGAGGTATAGAAACTCCATAGCTTCCTGTGCAGATGAGCAGCCTCACATCTGAAACTACAGACTGTTGAAAACCATCAGCAAGGGGAACTTTGCAAAAATGACATTGACATGACACATCCTTACAGGCAGAGAGATTGCAACAAAAATAATTAACAGTTGTGGCCCAGTGGTGCACACCTGTAATCCCAGTGGCTTGGGATGCTGAGGCAGGAGGATCACAGGTTCAAAGCCAGCCTTAGCAAAAGCAAGGCACTAAGCAACTTAGTGTCTCTAAATAAAATACAAATTAGGGCTGGGGAGGTGGCTCAGTGGTTGAGTACCCCTGAGTTCAATCCCTGGTATAAAAAAAAAATTGACAAAACTCAGTTGAATCCAACAAGTCTTCAAAAGGTCTTCAGAGAATTAAGAGTATGAAGATTTTTAATTATCCAAACATAATGAAGTTGCTTGAAGTCATTGAAACTAAAAAACCACTCTACTTAATCTTGGAATACACAAGTGGATGGGACGTATTTCACTATTTGGTTCCACGTGGATGAATGGCGGGAAAAGAAGCAAGAGCTAAATTTAGACAGATCATGTCCGCAGTACAGTATTGCCACTAAAAGCTGATTGATCACAGGGAACTCTGTGGGATACCAACCTTGCATGTGACTGAGTCACTCCCCAGCTGGGTGATTGAGGCATCAGGCAGCAGATGCTGCTAGACTGCCCCA